GAGCTTTGAGGGTGAAGAGGTTGCCATGGGACAGGAGAGAAAGACAAGTCAGGAGGCAATGCAGTGAGGAATGATATTGGCAGACAAATGTGTAGAAAGATATATAGAGTGTTTATGGAGAAAACATTATGGATGGAATAGAAGGGGAAAAAAGTTCAGGGATGTTTATCACAGTCAAATAGAATCACCAAAGATTAAGGAACAGAATAAGGGATAGACAGAGCTGTAAATAGGGTGTGGTGACCCAGGGTTTTCCCTAGACCACTGACATGGGGTGGTAGGGTGGGTGTCCTTCCTCTTTATAGCTATGCTGTCCAGAGGCTAAGCTTCCTGGGATGTCTGTGGTTTAAAGAAAAGAGTGTTGGACTTAAGGAATCTCCAGTCTTATTTCTGCCATTTACTAACTCTGTAACTTTGGGTGAGTCACGTTACTTCCCTTAGCCTCCGATTCCTAACCTGCAAAATGAAGGTGTTAGACTAGATGATCAGAGCAAGTCAATGAATTTATCTGTTACTTTCCTCACCTGTAAAATGGGGAATTTAGAATGGGGATCCTCTAAGGTCCCTTCCAGCTCTAAATCTATGATTCCATGATCCAGTGACTTCATGGCCCCCTTCTGGTCTTTGTCACGTGGCATGATCCTACCCTGTTCTCTGACACGGTCATCCTGGCTGTGACCTTCAGGGTTCCTACAACATTGAATTCTTTTCCTGGAGCCTGTCTTTCCCTCAAGCTCTTCAGGAGTATAGGAGACTCTGAGGAAGTCCTTCTTCAGATACAACTCCAGTTGGGCTGTCCTTTGCAATTCCACTCCCTCATCTTCTTTCCATTCCCTCAAATTCAACAATTGTTTTTTGCTACAGATGAAATAATTTCTATTTGTGCCATTGGGTATTAAGAAATCCAAGAAATAATGATTCAGAATATAGTGGCCTGAAAGAACACTCTTTTCAGAGCCAAGAGAAGGGGTAAGGCCTGAGAAGAGGGATTGGTAAAAGTAAAAGCTGAAGGGGGGAAGAGAAAGAGAAAGGATTATTAGAGACACATACTGGCTCTGTTGGTGAGGAAAGTTATCTGTGGGAAAAGCAATATCAACCCAAAGCCTTGAAATGAGGGTGAACCTGAGGCCCAAATAGGAAAGGATCTTGCTCCTTCAGCACTACAGTGTAGTTAATACCAGTAGCCCAAATGCTCTTACACTGTAGTAAGGCACTATGTCCCCTGTTAGTGTTGTGAACTGATCCAGCCATTCTGGAGAGAAATTTGGAACTGTGCCCAAAGGGCAATCAACCTGTGCCTACCCTTTGATTCAGCAATACCACTAGTAGATTTAAATACCAAAGAGATTTAAAAAAGGGGGGGAGGAAAGAACTACTTGTACAAAAGTATTTATAGCAGCTCTTTTCATGGTGGCAAAAAATTGGAAATTGAGAGGATGCCCATTAGTTGGGGGAATGACTGAACAAGTTGTGGTATATGTATGTAATGGAATACTATTGTGCTATGAGAAATGATGAGAGGTGGATTTCAGAAAAACCTGGAAAGACTTACATGGACTGATGCTGAATGAAGTGAGCAGAACTGGAGAACATTGTATATAGGAACAGCAATATTGTACAATGACCAACTGTGAATGCACCATTCTCAGCAATACAAAGATCCAAGACAATTCCGAGGGACTTATGATGAAAAATGCAGAGAAAAAACTGATGGAGTCTGAATGCAGATTGAAACATACTATTTTTCACTTTATTTTTTTCACTTTTTTTTCTTTTGGTCTGTTTCTTCTTTCACAACATGGCTGATATGGAAATATATTTTACATGAATGCTCATATCTAACCTGTATCAAATTGCTTACCATCTTAGGGTGAGGGGAGGTGAGGGGAGGAGGGAAAAGATTTGGAACTCAAAATTTTTTAAAAAATGGATGTTAAAAATTGTCTTTACATGTGAGCGGAAAAAATAAAATACTATTAAAAAAAGATTACATGTGCCCTTAAGAAAATTGCTGTGGATATATCCACAGAGAAGGAGGCAGCAAAGGAAAAAAGGCAGGATGATTGCAATATCCTGTTTGTCATACATCTTAATTGTCAGGAAAGAATGATAAGTGCCTCTCTTGGTTTACAATTCAATTGTTAACTTGGAAATTTCAATATGCTTTAAAACTATAGCCTGACAAAAACAGAAAGGTGGTGGCCCAACTTGAAGCCTAGAAAAAAAGGGGAAATATAGAGTAAGAATGTTAGGATTTCTCCACCACTCAACCAGTTGACATGAAAATTTGATTTGTTTGCCTAGTACATCCTTATTATGGAGAAACATAATTCATAAGGTTACTACAGTTGGGTAGAAATGTCCAACTTTCTTTGCTTTACAATCCTATGCTCACCAATCTTCTACTTATTTAAGTTTCAAAGATATGTCTGTACAGGATTCAAACCTGGGTCTCAAGCATTGTTGACTTTAATCAATCAGTCAACCTAATCAACAAGCATTTATTTTTGTCGTTTAGTTGTTTTCAGTTGTATCTGATTCTTCATGACTCCATTTGGGGTTTTGGCAAAGATACTGAAGTGGTTTGCCATTTCTTTCTCCAACTCATTTTACAGATGAGGAAACTGAGGCAAACAGGGTTAAGTGACTCGTCCAGTATCACACAGCTAGTAAGTGTCTGAGCCTGGATTTGAACTTAGGTCTTCCTGACTCTAGACCCTGCACTCTTTGCACTTTGCCATCTAGCTACGCAAGCATTTATTAAATGCTTAGCATGCACCAGGCACTGTATTAATTGATTAACACATTAATTAATTAATACATTAAGATACATACAATACGTACAAAGAAAGGCAAAACAGTCCCTGCCTTCAGGGAGCTCACATTCTAATAGAAGAGACAATATGTAAATAAATAGGTAAATATAAGAGATATACTGAGCAGATGGAAGGGGAAGGCTCTAGCAGCTAGGAGGGCAAGGAAACACCTCTGGAAGGAAGTGACATTTGAGCTGAGTCTCAAACAGAGATAAGAATTCAACTTCCCAAGGCATCTGTTTCACTTTTGTCTTTGTCAAGAGTCTCTGTCTGACTTAGGGTGGGAGAGGTGGCATGTAACTTCCTTCCAGTGGCTAAATTGCTTCTGCTCAGCATCTATCTAGATGCTACTCTTTCAGCAAATAGCTGAGGATGCTGGCGGTTAGGGAGGTTGGAGGCGAATGAAGGAAGTTTCTAAAACTCCCAAACTCCCTTGTTCTCCCATGTAAATGGGTGAGAAGGGGAAAAGGCATAGAAACAAACCCATCAAACTAGGCTTGTTGGCAAAGTCATTGCCTTCTCACTGCCTAGCTGTATTACTGACCTTTCATATGTATAGGTGGCAAGCAAAAATATCCTTCACACCGATAATTATGGACCATTTGCCAAACAGAACTATTCACATATTTCCTAGTGCCAATATATTATTATGTGACTTAACCTTTCGTTAATTGCAAGCTATGTTATTTAATATCAGGAATGCAAGCAGTAAGGGTGATATGCCATTATCACGTATGGTGATGAGAAATCACTATTCCATCCTTCTGGGTATTGAAAAGAAAGGAGTTGAACTCTTGCTCTTCAAGAGGAAGGGAACTTTTCCCATTCTATACAGCTTTCCTGTCTACAATATCTGCAATGGTAAGGGAATTGACTTCTAGAAAGCAGAGAATTAAAATACCATAATTTTATAATAGTTCTCTTTCTTATTCCTTATAGTAAAGTAAACCATAAAGTCTAAATAAAATTCCCCTCTGACGCTTACTGTATAACTTTGGGCAAGTCAGCCTCCTTGGGCCTCAATTTCCTTATCTGTAAACCTGGGGGTGGGGATTGAATTCCATGGCCTCTGAAATCTTTTAGTTTTAGCTCTAAGAATCTTTGAAATAAAGGTAGCTTTGTGACCCACTGGACAGTGTTGGACTTGGAGACAGGAAGACCTGAGTTCAAATCTTGCTTTAGACACTTGCTCAACTGTATGACCATGGGCCAGTCCCTTAACCTCCACCAACTTCAGTTTCCTCAACCATAAACAAAGGGATAATAACAGCACCTTCCTCACAGGATTGTTAGATGGACAAAATGGCATATTGCATATAAAGCACCACATTTCTGAGGAGATGCTAATTTCCAGACTGCTTAATGGGCAGTCTTTGTACACAGGGCAGTAAGACCTTTTGTTTCCCTGTAGAGAAAGGCAGCAGTGTCTGAAGGGCAGGTGTCCATGAGGAGGGTTGGATAAAGGGGAAGTCACCATGCATGTTGGCACTGTGACTGCTCAGCTGATTATGCCCTAATCTGCTATTGCTAAAAGTTAGCCAGATTTGGGCCTGATGGGGGTGTCTCCTCTTTCCAGAAATGGTGTTCCCCTCTGGGTAATGAGAACCAGAGGTTTTTTCTTTCTTTAACTCACAAAGCATGGCCCAGCAGCCACTTACCATCTGACTAGAGTTCAGCATGTCCTGCTTTGGAATGCAGAGGAAGAGATTTGGAAGGCACTCAGGCTGGATGCTAATTACAGCCATACTTAGAAGAGCTCATCGGTTCAGCAGATCAGCTGGCCCCTGCTTGTTGGACAGAATTAGCCAAGTAAAGTGATAGTGCTCTTGGACAAACCCCCTCCCATCTTTCAAAGAGATAGTATTACCAAGTATGCAGCAGTGCCCTAGGCTGGCTGTCTTTTATGAGATGAATTTAAAATTAAGCCTCATACCAACTGCCAGGAGTAGCAGCTGAACACAGTTCAGGCAATACCCAGCAAAGTTTGGCGTGATCAAACAGTAGGATCATCTTCACAGGCAGACAGACAGACTGACTGACAGATACACACAATGACAGTGCGGCTGACTGACTGACTAAAGACTGCTTCAGGACAGAGATTACTGAAAAGGTCCTGAAAAGGCTTACATTTTTGTGTGTGTAGCCTTCAGGATACCGTGTAACCATATCTGTTCCTTGTCACAGACACCCTGTCCTTTGTACCTGACTGCTACGGAGAAAGAGGGCTTCTTTCTCCTCCTCCTCTTTCTCCTCCTCCTCTCATGTTTGGGGAAGGCATGAGGCTGCAGGCTTACTAAGGCAATCTGCCTAGAAAAGTGGAGCCTCTCAGCTGGAGAATTAAGAGGTAATGGCTTGTTGGGTGTGGAGGGTCATTCCATGACCTCTCCCAGATCTATCACCCCTTTAGGGGTAATTAAGATATTAATTTTTCAAAAGACTAAAAGTGAAATTTTATCCCATGATTAAGTCTTACACACTTTCCCAGAATTATCAACCCCTGTTAGGCAATTAAAAATTATTTTGGAAAAAAAACAAAACAAAAATAGAAACTCTGTTACAATACTGCCCTCCTAGTACATCATCTGTGTGTGTACATATGTATGTATATATGTGTATATGTATTGTGTATATATATATATATGTTCATATATATATATAATTTTTTTTCATGGCTCTATTTCATCAATTAAGGGAATGCCAATTGTAGAAGTTCCCTCCAGAAATTCAAACCTTAAATTTAAGGCACTGAGTCATTAAGTGACTCATGCATGGTTTTATAGTCAGTATTTGTCCAGAGGCAGGATTTGAACCCAAGTTTTCCTGGCTCCAAGGCTAGTCTCTACCCACTATACCGCACAATCATTCCATTTGATAAAAACTACTCAAAACACTTAAGTGGGCAGAATCTTTGGTATTTCACAGTACTGTTTTTTTGATGGGATAACCAGGATATTTGATGGAGGGACCTAGTCTCTGGTATAAATTAAGAGGGGGAAACATGGCATCAATGAACAACAATTACTGAATGATTGTCACAATATTCATGAGATTCAGTGTTTCAAGCCAATCTGGATTGGCTTCCAATTCTCTGTGAGAATTAAAAATGGCTTCTCTCCCTCCACCTTGCCTGTCCAGGTCCTAGCAAGGTCAAAACACTATGAGATATCACAAGAAGCGACTATATCTCTCAACCTTCACAGTGGAGAAAAAACAAAATGGGCTTTTGTTTATGTGGAATGAGTTTTATTTCTATTTGCTTTTTTTTTAAGCTGCCTTTAGTATTATATAGGTATTGACTATTATAGCCTCATCAATAGAACCATAACTTGCAACCTTTGGGCCCAGAGAAAGCAACACTGACTTGACTTTTCAAGTTGATTTGGGAAGGGGAGAGAAATTGGGATTCCACTCCATAGTTAGAGAAATAGAGTCCCTATGGTATCACGAGGCCTCTTCTGGGAAGGGTGCTGTAAAGGGGATAGGACAGCCATAGGCCTAGGCAGAGGAATTCACCTGGGATGTGACTGCCAATGTAGGGGGCAGGGGAATAAGGAAGTGTTTTATCAGGTAGCTCTATTTTAAACTAAACAAGGTGCTAAAATCAGTTTCTATGATAGTTTAAGAATTAAAAATGCACTCTAAATTTCAGGACTAGGGACAAAACCCTGATTGGTCTACCCTAGTTACATCTGTGATCAAGGATGAGGTAGGTTCCCCTCCCCACCCATTTTTTTTTTTTTGGTGGCCAAAACTCTTTTTAATATCTGTCTAAATTTCACAGCTCTCCTCTTCAATTTCTAGGTCCCAATAGTTTTATTTTATTTCTGGGTTCCTGATCATCCATAACTATCTGTCTCCTTAGAGTTCTTCTCTTATCTCCCAATTGACCTTGATTCCTGATCCCCTCTCCTTTTATTTTTTCACTCTAACTTAGGACTCAGACGATATTCTTTCAGCACTTTGTAGTGTGAGAGTTAGCTTGACATGCTGGGAAATGAAAAGATTCCCCTTTCTGGTGACCATTTTGACAGAAGTGAGTGAGAATGTGTTTCCATGCCATTGGAATGGTACTGGTTTGGAATGACCTCCTTTTACCCTCATGGTTATTTATCTGAGAAGCAGAGAACTGAGACTCAATACCTTACCTTCTGGACATGGACCAACCATGCCAAACCCTCATAATTCAGAATGACAGCACCTCCATCCTCAAATGCTTAAAATAATTTTTTAAGTAACTTACATCTATGAAATGTAGTTTAGGTTTCATACTTGCCTGTTGTGAAGAGTTATCTTGTGTTATAATTATCAAACTACACACATGGCTGAGAGGAATGTGCTGAACGTATTGAGACCTTGTAGAATGTGTGTCCCCTGAAAGAAAGCCAAACAGATTAATGCTCTTGGCATTGGGGATAGCCTGTATTATATTCATGCTGTGATAGTGATTTCTTTTTCCAAAGACCTTCTGATTGTAAGAGGGGATTCCAGAATCCACATGTGAGTTGACGGTGTCTCCAAGTACACTGTGGCTGTCAGCCAGTAACAGAGCCTCTTTTATATTCCACGGGCCAGGCAGCTGAGTGTTGATTGGAAATCAGATAACTGCAGAATGTGGCATGTCGTGGTGCCCAGAAATCATGTGAAAGGCTCATCAGGAAACTGACTGGTGGTCATATCACTGTCAGGCTGGGAAGAACCAGGGCTTACATAAAGTCCTGGATCCTTTCAGCCTGAACGTGCTGGGGGCTCATCTGCATGTGACTGTATTAGAAGTCAGAGTTATAAAATTGCCACTATCTAGACGACCCTTCGACATAATGCCGTGGATGATAGATCCATGAGAGTTTTTCTTCTGCCAATTGGCTCTGTGGCCAAGGTGGGGACAAAGTGGCTAAAATGAATATTATTAGAAGTAGTGAGAGACAGGGGATATAGGGGTGGGGATGGGGGAAAGGAATGAATCTGTATTCCTACAACCTGGATTTGAATCTAGACTCTGAAGTAAGGCTAATCAATTCAGTTTTCTCAGCCTTAGTTTTTTCATCTATAAAACATAGGGGTTAAACTAGATGCCCTCTAACATCCCTTTCAGCTTTAAATCTATGAGCTTATAACTATATATGTATATATAAATATATACACCTGTATATACATATATATATACACATCTATATGTGTGTGTGTGTGTGTTTGTGTGTGTGTGTGTGTAGTATATACATATATACTATAGGTATAAATATTTAACAACTAGCTCTCCAAAAATGCACAATACCTTTTTAAGTTTAATCTATACTATTAACATTTACTTCATCACTTTCTTAAGACTATACAATAAATTAACAATAAACTAAGGCCTGATTTGTAGTTTGCTGATTTCTGAGGCATAAATGTTCACACTGAAAATTTAACAACGGGCTCTTGAAAACCTGTATGAGGTAGCTCCAGCACACCCTTGCCAACACACCTGACTTGGCGTGTGGTTATAATTTGTCATCTATATCTCTTAAGCTCTTTAATTCTTTCTTTATCCATATCCTTTGAAGAAGTTCGGAAGAGCTAATCTGATAATACTCTTAGAAGGTTTAAATGAATATCACACTTATCTTCAGATACACTTCATGTGTTTTGACTCTTGCTGGTTATTTGGTTGGGTAGGTGGAGAAGCACCGTGAATTTTGTCATGACAAAATCACTTAATTTCTCTGAACCTCATCTGTAAAATGGACAGAACACCACTATCAGAATTGTGAGGATTACATCATAAGATTCTGTTTTTATTTAAAACATATCAGATATTGTTACTGGTTATATGACCACAGGGAGTCCCTTACATTTTATGAGGTTCAGTTTCCTCATCCTTAAAAAAGGTATAACACAGACTACCTACTGGATTATTGTGAGGAATGAGCTATGTGAACTTTAAAATACTATATAATGAGGAATTATTCAATAAAGAGTATAAAAGTGCCTGAGTATATGCTCTTGAGCATACAGGGTAACCATGGTGAATAGAGCAGTGATTTTCAATTAATCATCAATCTTGTAGTCATAATCCTTTGTCATTATTATATCAAACTTTCACAAAACACAGACAGCGGTGTGCAAATTGCTAAACTGTAGGTGTCCCTCAGGGTTCTGTGCTAGGCAATCTTCTCTTCTCCCTCTATACTACTTCACTGGGTGACCTTATCAGCTTCCATGGATTTAATTACCATCTCTATGCTGGTTCTCAAATATACCCATTCTGCCCCAGTCTTTCTGCTGACCTCCAGTTTCATATTTCCAGCTACCTTTTAGATATCTCCAACTGGATTCCAATAGACATCTACCTTTCTTGCCTCAATCTCTCTGCTCACCTCCAATCTCGCTTCTCCAATTGCCATTCAGACATCTAGAACTGGATGTCCAGTAGAGATCAGTATGTCCAAAATGAACTAAGCATCTTTCCTCCTAAACCCTGCTCTGCACTTACCTTCTCTATTACTGTAGAGGGCAACACCATCTTCCCAGTCCCCCAGGCTCACAACCTAGGAGTCATCCTGGAATCCCTATTATTTCCTGCCCCCTTCCCACTTCCATATCCAAGTCATAGCCAAGGGCTGTCAATTTCACCTTCCAACATCTCTTGAATAGATTGTCCTCCCCCTCCTCTCCTCTGATACTACCACCACTCTGGTGTAGGCCCTCATCATCTCAGGCCTGGATTTCTGCACGAGGCTGCTGGTGGGTCTGCCCGCCTCAAGTCTCTCCCCACTCCAATCCATCTTCCATTTAGCCTTTAAAGTGATTTTCCTAAAACACAGGTCTAATCCTCCTCCTCCTCTTCCCTCTTCAATAAACTTCCTATTGCCTCCAGGATCAAATACAAAATGCTCTGTTTGACATTCAAAGTCCTTCATGACCTAGCCCCCCTTAATCTTTTTATACTTTACTCCTCAACCTGTATTCTTCAATCCAGCAGCCCTGGCCTCCTGGCTGTTCCACAAACATCCATCTATTGGCTCTGGGCATCTTCTCTGGCTGTCTCATGCCTGAAATGCTCTTACCCCTCCAATCTACTACTGACCTCCCTAACTTCCTTTAGATCCCAATGGTGGAATCATTTGGCTATGACAGGAGACCTCTTTCCAACTCGACATTGATCAACACTCTGGGTTCAATCATTCTGAAAAACCTGATCCATATTCTCATGCAGGTGACATTTATCCTTCTTGTCCAAAAGTATACCATGAGGGACTTCATCATAGGCTTCAACAAAATCCGTCTTACCTCCAACAACCACAATAATATTTTTGAT